GGCCGAGCTCCTATTCCTCCTCTCAAAACTGCTCCTCTGACACCTTTTTCATCATAGTTAAAGGCAAGTCCATCATTCAGAATGCTTAGGCTCCATCCTGGCCTCCCCCTCACAAACAGAGAAAAATCCCTGCAGCTTAGGTGGGAATATGTTGTATTCATTGCTGGATCCTGAGTAGCCAGACAGTTCAGCTGACACATACTACTGTTCAGAAAGTACTTGTTGAATAAGTGAAGGAGTGATTGTAACACTAAGTAAGAATGAATAAATATTTTAAAATATGTTTTTCTTTCCCTGGCCTCCCCCTCACAAACAGAGAAAAATCCCTGCAGGTTAGGTGGGAATATGTTGTATTCATTGCTGGATCCTGAGTAGCCAGACAGTTCAGCTGGCACATACTACTGTTCAGAAAGTACTTGTATAAGTGAAGGAACGATGGTAACACTAAATAAGAATGAATACATATTTTAAAATATGCTTTTCTTTAAAATCAGGAGTTAGGAAAATCAAAGAGCGAAGTTAACAATTGGAAATGAAAGAAACTGCAAAATTTTTATATTAGATCACTCTATACATAGATGTGGTTCCAACTTGGCAACACGTTAGAATCACCTGAAGAGCCTTCAGTGTCCTCCTGGCCAAGAATTAGAGCATCTGGGGAGGGGCTGAGGCAACAGCATTTCCTACAGCTCCCCGGTGACTCCAATGAGAGCCAAGCATGAGAACCAGCACTCCTTAGAAATTATACCTGGCGTTAGTGTTAACATACTAATGATTTGATCTAAATGTTTCATCATAGAATCTCTGTTTCCCCCCTAACACGCTAGTGTAATGTTCCTCATACGATTTCTGACCACTCAGCACTGTGTACAGAATGTCAAGAATGCAAGACAACATCAACCTAAAATTATTAGAACAAATAAGAGGTCTTAAATGGCAACTGAAACAAAAGAAATATACGAAGAGTGCTAGCTTTCAATGTGCCAGAAATAACCAATTGAAATGTACCTAGGAAAAACAATTCTATTCCCAAAGAAATCAAAATTACAAGATACGAAGGAATAAATAGATAGACAAGACAAATAAAAATTATGATACTGTATATATAAGTTTGAAGAGAAGTTTTTAATAAATTGAGACATACCATATTCCGGGGGAGGGGTGGTATTAAATATTTAGACATGTCAACTCTTCCTAAATGAATCTAGTCGTAGTCACAATTCTATATCTGAAAGAGATAATGTGTGAAATAAAAATATTTTTAAAGAAAAATTATGAGGGAGGACTTGCCCTCCCAAATACCACATCATTCTATGAAGCTGTAATAATTAAAATAGTATGATATCAGTGAAGGAATAGATGGGTATATGAGTGTGTGAGCACTTCTCTGGCTGCAGTTTTTAATTGTCGGATTTAATGATCTGAACAACAAACTCAAATAATCTTGCATTTGAATTGTGTACTAATATCCCCTCTTTGAGATTCACTTTTACAGGTTAAACATTCTGAAAAATAAATGGTTTAGCCTTGTTCAATGGTTACAGAAACAAATTTATTCAAATAGGAAAGGGAACTTCTCCCTATTCCCTAAATCCTACTTTAGGGAGCCCTGGAAGGGAGGCCCCAAGCTGGCAATGACTCTCATGGAGAGTCATATGAGATATAGCTGCTAGCAACGATGTGTTGAGAGAATGGAGCAGAGCAGGGAAAGAATAGAAGAAAGAAAGGGCCCTAGCTGGTTTTGCTCAGTGGGTAGAGCACCAGTCTTCGAATGGAAGGTTCCCAGGTTCAATTCCGGTCAAGGGCACTTACCTGAGTTGCAGGTTCCATCCCCTCCCCAGACTGGGCATGTGTGGGAGGCAACCAACTGATGTGTCTCTCTCACACCAGTGTTTCTCTCTCTCCTTCTTCTCTGCCTCTCTTCCACTCTCTCTAAACATCAATGGAAAAGATATAGTCAGGTGAGGATTAAAATAATAATGATAATGATAATTTTAAAAATGGGCTGGATCAGAAAGGAATATGATAAAACCTTTTGTGTGGGGGTGGATGTGATTGTATGGCTGACTATAGCAGGAGCTGTATTTTTAATTCAGTCAAAGGCCTGCGTGCCCCATACATGTTTTAAGGAATGCAGAGCACCTGTGGGCAAGTGAGATGTATAACAGCTGCAGGTGCCTTTAAACATGGAGACCAGACACTTCATTGCTCCCTGGAAGTTCAGGTACAATGCTACCCAAATGGCTTGTTCCAAAAATAAAAAATGGGTGGTTCCAGGGACAGTGCCTCTAACACTGTGGTCCAGCCATTTCAACCTAAGACTATTATCAGTTGCTATAATTATCACTTTAAAACAGGACATGCATTTCTTGCTATATATAGATAGAAGCGACATGTATTTGGATGTTAGTGTTATTATTGTACCTTCCTCAGAACAATAGTCTTATTCAATAGTCCTTCACTGCTTGGTCACACCCCTCCCTGACACGCCCCCTCACCAGAGGGTCCCAAAGGAACCAGAGGCAGTGTTAAAAAATCTGATATACCTTGTTTGCACTTTGAGAAAACCAGCAGGAAAAGCCAACTTCCAAAATAGGCAAATGTGGAAGTGCTTATTAACATTATGAACAGATATTCTTTTAAACATTTGAATTACTCAATGCATGCTTTATTGTGTATTTATACTAGTAGATGATTAACTACTTGAGGGATAGACTTCATAAAAATAGTGGGTACCATGTGCATTGGATTACTGTTATTTTCATTATTATGGTTATTATCATTCTTACTATCACTTCCAATTTACAGATGAATAAATTGAGACAGAAAATTTAAATAACAAATCTAACATGACAGAGATAGTAGGTGGTAAAACAAAGCTTGTTCATAGGGCTATGTCATCAGTAACATATTTTCATTTATTTATCACACAGGCTTTCCTTTTTGTCTTATTTTTAAGCATTATTTTATAAATTTTTAAAAATTGATTTCAGAGAGGAAGGGAGAGGGAGAGAGGAATAGACACATCAATGATGAAAGAGAATCACTAATCGGCTGCCTCCTGCACGCCCCCTACTGGGGATAGAGCCGGCAACCCGGGCATGTGCCCTTGATCAGAATTGGGCCCGGGACCCTTCAGTCCGCAGGCTGATGCTTTATTCACTGAGCCAAACCAGCTAGGGCAGTGATGGCGAACCTATGACACGCATGTCAGAGGTGACACGCGAACTCATTTTTTTGGTTGATTTTTCTTTATTAAATGGCATTTAAATATATAAAATAAATATCAAAAATATACATCTTTGTTTTACTATGGTCGCAAATATCAAAAAATTTCTGTATGTGACACGGCACCAGAGTTAAGTTAGGGTTTTTCAAAATGCTGACACGCCGAGCTCAAAAGGTTGGCCATCACTGAGCTAGGGCAACCATTATTTTAAATATTTTATGATATAAGGATATATATAATAACTGTTCTATAAATGGATAAAACAGGCACAAGTTGATTGGTCTAAGAGCAGAAATGTTCCTGAAATGTGCTGAACCACATTTTAAAATGTTGAGTATACATTTTTCTCATAAATTGCATTATACTCTAATTCTTCATATGAATTTTTAATATTGTAAGTCTTTTAAAGTATTGTAAAAAACCAAAGAACGTCACAATACTGGTTGCTTTTAGAAGAGTTCTTTATTGAAAAATCCCAAATTAGATTAGTAATTATAAAATAATTATAACCTTCAACCTTGACTTTTTCAAGACACGGTCAATAGCAGCATAAATACAAAATATTTCTTGAGGTTTGCTCCAATAAATACAACCTCTTCTATCGCAAAGAAGAGTTAGGTCCTCTGATTAAGGTTTCCCAAATTTTGAAATAAAACTGCTAAGCTCATGATAATGCATGTGTTTATTCATTAACACCAAGTAAAAGGAATGGGTCAGAGAGATAAGAAGGAAAACAAAAGCATATGGTGCTCCTCTAACCCTAGGAGTGAAGAGTTTCAGGAAAACGGAAGGGACCAAGGGCAGCAAATCCAAAAGAGGGCCTGCAAAATACGAAACAAAAAGTGGTGATCAACCTAGACACTGGGAGGTCACTGAGACCCTTAAGAAGAATTGCTTTAGTGGAGTGGTGGGGACAGAAGCCAGATGGCCCTGTGAATGCTGACTGTGGCCCGAGTTAATCCAAGCATGACCACGTCAAAACAAATCTAAGGCTGGTTATTTTCATTAGAAAATCAGTGAAGACACTAACTTACTGGGTTTTTAAACAGAAAACAAACAACTCTCCCCAATGTAAATGCTGATTTTCTGCTTGCTTCGGATAGGCTGCTCACTTTCTTTAGAATATACTGTTCTATAATCTGACCTAAAGATTCTTGATCGCTCCATCCACTGAGCCAAACCGGTTTCGGCTGACCTAAAGATTCTTGATCAGATTAGATGCCACTGACTGTCATACCCGATCTGCACCTCACATTGACAGCTATTAAATGCAAATCAAAGGAAAGACAGTGAATTTGTATGACAATGAGATCGCACTCAGATTTCACATGAGTCTGAAAGATAAAGAATGAGAAGTAGTGTGAGTTAAAATTGATGGAGAGTGGACTTGGGTCTGCAGGTGCAGCCTCACAGATGTCATGTCTCTAGAACAACTGGCTGAAAAATATGGTTTAATTCTATGCAGGGGGTCCTGCTTTGTTCCTCCCGCAGGAACCCTCATTGCAGCTGGGTTAGCGGATCATTTGTCTCCAGGAGAGTTCCTTGAACCAATCGGGACACAGATAATCTTATTGTACCTTTGCGGGTCTGTGTTTCTTTTGATGAAGCGTCTAGAGAAGTCATGGGTAATACTTCACTGTGTGCCAAGAGCCACTTAGGTTTCGGTTGTACAAGGTCAGATCTTAATTTAACCACCAACTGGGCACTTAATTTTAGATACACAGAGGGACACATTGGCTCCAAGGCACTTCCTCTGGTTTAGGAAGGCAAGGCCCTGGATAAGAATGACACGGCGATCATTCCAGAAGGTGAGATTATGAAATATTCGATCTGTTCCTCACCAAATAGCGTATTACGTAGTTTGGTATTAAGAATATTTGAAACAGATGGAAATACATATTACAGTAGTTCCTCATTACTTTCTTTCCAATTGATCACTGTCGGTTTGCCTGTCTAGGGCCTTTTTAATTATAGAATAAAGCCAGGGTTGTTTTGTTTGTTTATAGAGTATTAACTCAGTTATATAGTTATTCATCACAATAAACAATAGCATCGTGAGAAAAATGGATCAAGAATAAATATGTTTATAGGAAGGGTCAATATACATACTATGGAAGGGTGTTAGCTGGCCCTAGTTTCTAAAAAAAAAAGTTGAATGATTATTATCAATAACTAAAATAAATTTCTATGTAGGCCTTTTTATCACCTATAGTAAAAGATGGATGCTTTTTATTCAGATCAAAAATTCTTTAAATTCTTTTAAATTAGAAGAAAAGGAACTCAATAGAATTAAAAATTTGCTTCTGCAAATTAAATAATAGAATCTTGAAGTTGGAAAGTCCTTAGAATTTATCTGATACCATCACCCATCTGGCTCTTAAATGAACAGATAACTTCTAAGAAAGCATCTAAATCTAAAATAAAATTATTTCTATGCAATAGCAGTGATATGGACACGGAAGTTCTAACACTGCTTTGTGATGAGGACATAATTGTCATAAAATATAATTTTAGGCTTCTGCTGTTTTTATGAGAATACTTCAAATGAAAATTTATCTAATATATTTATATTTCTACTGGAGTTGTCTGATAGGTTTGCTGGTTGTTTGCTTAAACCCTTTCAAAACTTTTTCTGAGGCTTATGAATATTAGGATTACAAGGTGAGACCCTCTTTTCATTAATTCCATGAGAGTAGCTGAGTCATGTACTGTAGTGGTTAAACCTGTGTTGCTCTAATATCAAATGACTGCATGGTAAGTTACCTAACCACTCTGTGCCTCACTTAGTTTTCTCATCTGTAAAACGAGGTGAAAGTGTGTTGTAGAAATTAAATAACAATCTATTTAATGTGCTCAGCATAATGCATGTCACAGGTAAGCACTCAACAGATATTACTTATAATAATTATCAAATTCAATAACAAATATTTATTGAGCACCTATGGTGAGCTTGACTCTGCAAAAACTTTGGAAAGGAGAGGAGGGAAGAGATTAATGTTGTTTGTGGGTAAGATCTAGAACGCATTATTTAAGGGCAGCAAACTCCCGGAGGGCATGGAGCCTTGTGTCTAGCATTGTGACTAGAACATAGCAGACATTGAATACCTGTTTTTGAGTGAGCAGATAGGATGTTCTGAAAATCCTTAGAAAAAAATCTAATCACTGAGAGCTGGTGGGTCAACTCTTCTCCTTTGTATTTTTTACTTAGAGAAGGGTGATGTAGATAAGGTGCATCTGCATTTCAACAAGGTATTCGGAAGTATCTCTTGATGTTGGACTTGTTATTGAAAAGGAAACATTAATACTAGCTTAGAGAAGGGTGATGTAGATAAGGTGCATCTGTATTTCAACAAGGTATTTGGAAGTATCTCTTGATGTTGGTCTTATTATTGGAAAGGAAACATTAATACAAATGTTGGTGTCTTTGGGAGGATTTGTACCTGGATAAACATATTTTCTTGAAGGGTGCTAAACAATGGATCAACCTGAAGGCCTCTGTCCTATGCCAATTTCTGTTCAACATTTATCATCATTAAGGAGCAGATAGTCATAGAGAAAACATGCAAATAGATCTGCAAATAGAACACTACTTGGAGGAATAGAAAATGCATTAGATCAGCGGTTCTCAACCTGTGGGTCGCGACCCCCTTGGCGGTCAAACAATCCTTTCACAGGGGTCGCCTTTTTTGCAGGAGTCAGCTGATCGATGTTTCTCTCTCATCGATGTTTCTAACTCTCTATCCCTCTCCCTTCCTCTCTGTAAAAAATCAATAAAATATATATATTTTTTAAAAGGGCCAGAAGGTTGAGAACCACTGCATTAGATCTTAGCAGACGATAATAAAGGTCAAATCCAAAAAAAGAAAGAAAGTGTAATAAATTTAAATAAATTCTATTATAGAATTGCACTGCTATAATGTGGAGGGAAATATGACTTGTAGGATTTGAATCAAGTGTGTAGCATGACAGTCCCCCAATTAATCTGAGCTTGGGCTACATTGACAGATCCATGGTGTCTGGGGAGAAGGAGATGGTCACCCCGCTTAATGTTGTGTTTATTTGACTGTAGCTGCCGTCAGAGCCCATGGCCCAGAGCCTCTTTTAGAAAGTGATGGATTTAAAGAGGTATGTTTACAGGGAAGCATTCAAGATTGTAGAAAGAGGTGAACCCACGTCACAGGAAGGACGCATGTCCAGCCGCGGGAGGAGAAGGCCCCGTGGAGACCTGCCAGCCTTCGTGGGAGATGTGTAAAGGTTCTCCTGTGGCAGAGGAACAGCATTTTCTCAGGGCGGCTCTGAGGCATACCCACGTCATAGAGCAAGGATTTGAGGAGATGGTTCAACTTCAATGCTCGTCCTCGTTGTTAAAGCTTGCCAACGATGAAGGACAGTGTGAGATACAGCAAGCTTCTTGCCACTTTGGTGTTCGAGCTGAGCCTGGGAAATACTTGTTGGGGCCTGTGTACGTGGAATTTCCAGGTGAAGCTACCCCATGATCTTTAACTCTGAAGTGAAGTGATTTGAGAGGAAAGGGAGGAGGGGAAATGATGAATGTGTCAGAGTGCCTGTTCAAGGGTGAGGACCAGAGCTAAACCTGCCCAACGCGCTTTAAAATGCTACTTTCCCACTCCGGAGGGGTGCAGTCCCAGAATATTAACAGTAATGTTTATTGACTACCTGCCACATGCCAGACACAGCTAAGGAGGCAGCTACTCTGGGAGGGCAGGATTTGAACGAAGGTTCAACTACCACACTCACCTGTCTCCAGCAGAAATCAATGGCCCGAACATGAATTCAAAATAAACATGAAGAAATGCGAAGGCTCATTATTTTTTGACTGAATTTCAAGCAGACAATGATTTGATTTGAGCACCAGACAGGAACACAAAATACACCATGCCCAGGAACAAATATTTTTAGAGAGAGTATATATATCTAGATGAATATATGGATGTACATTTTCAAATGCATATACATGTATGCGTATGCAATAGTTTTTATGAAGGTCTCAAGATACTGAATTTGTATTGTTATTGTAGCTATTGGATGCAGTCAGAGCATTTTTTACTCTACAACTCAGTTGTGTAAACCAAATGTAGCTGTTTTATTGTCTGTATTGGCCCCACCTTGCTCCAGAGCTGCTACACACTAATTAGTGGAAAATACTTTCGGGGCCATGCAGACAGACACAATAACTTAGATAATGAAAAGGCTTAGATGGCTCAGGTGAATCCGTTGTTCAGATTCCTGCTTTTCCTCAATCCAAGACTCTCCCTCCACCAGGTTTCGCCTTCTTGACTACAAATTTGATCAATTTCCACTCTTCCCAATGTCACCAAGGTGCCTGGCTTGTCCGTAAGTGGCCTATCTCTCCACCCCTAAGAGTCGGCCTATGAGCCAGATGCCAGGCCAGTTGCTGGAAGACCCTGTAAGCTCTGGCTCCATAAAGTCAATCAAAGTAGCTGGTCATGTAGCTGATTAAATGAGCATCGTTCTCACACACCAAGCTTTCTCCCTGGCATTGAATAGTCTTCAAGGATATGAATTTTAATGACTATATAGTTTTCCATTGTTTAGGTATACAATACTGTCTTATACAAATTCCCTCTTGTTGGACGTTTTATATTGTTTCTTTTTAAAAAATATATTTTTATTGATTTCAGAAAGGAAGGGAGAGGGAGAGAGAGATAGAAACATCCATGATGAGAGAGAATCATTGATCGGCTGCCTCTTGCACGCCCCCCACTGGGGATCAAGCCCTCGACCGGAATTGAATTCGGGACTCGGGACCCTTCAGTCCGCAGGTTGACGCTCTATCCACCGAGCCAAACCAGCTAGGGATTATATTGTTTCTAATGTGTTGTCAGTTTAAATATGGCTGGGATGAACATTTTCACACACAAATCTTTTTCCATATCTCTGATTATTTTTATAAGATTCCTAGATTAAAAAGCACAGACAAAGTGTTGGGCTTTTTAAAAATCATATTATCATCCTAGAAGTGATAGGGCACATTTATTCATATTTTGTCTCTTCATGGGCCATGTTTACTCTATTCTTTTCTAGTCTACATTTCCATTTCCTAAGAAATCTCATTCTTGTGAATCTAAAGCCTCTTTCTGTTCTATGTGTCATTTTCAAAAGCTAGCATGCATCTTCCAACATCTCTGTCATGGGTGAATTTGACTTGGGAATCAATAGTGGAGACTGAAAATGTCTAATTTTATAATATGAAACCGTATACAAGTTAAACTAGTATGACAGTGTGTATCACTAGTGTATTTACTTAGAAATTAAGCCTCAGTTAATGCAGTCCCAAAATTAGAAGTGAACTTGGCAAAAAACATACGTATGACAGAGAAAGAAAACACAAGGTTAATCTATCCTTTTGCTGACTTTCACAGTGGTATATATCTGATCATCCAATTTTGTTTCCTGGGGGAGAGAGAGAGCGAGAGAGAGAGATTTAGCAGAACAAGAGGTGTTGTTAAAGATGCTGTTTGAACTGGTCTAGTTCTCTCTGTTATCCACAGGATGTCTCTCTAATGGAAAAGGCAAATACCATCAGTCTGGTCTCTGCGCCTATGAGTCTGTTTCCATTTTGTTTGTTGGTTTATTTTGTTCTTTAGGCTGATGGGCTGCCAGAGAGGAGGGGGTTGGGGGGTTGGGTGGAAAAGGTGAAGAGATTAAGAAGTACAAACTGGTAGTTACAAACCAGTCACCGGGACGCAAAGTACAGCATAGGAATACAGTCAGTCATATTTATTGCAATCGCCATGTATGGTGCCAGGTAGGTACTTGGAATATCGGGGGGCGGGGAGGGGGCACTTTGTAACATAGGGAATTGTCTGACCACTATGCTGCACTCCTGAAAACAACAAAAAATAATATTGAATGTAAACTGTAATTGAAAAATAAAAATAAAACATTTCACCCGGAGGAAAAAGAAAAGAAAAGGCAAATACCATGGAGAGGGAATGGCTGTCACTCCTGGCTTGTAAATAGCAGTCGCTGGTGCCTGTGGGGTGGGACCTGGGTCTGACAGTGTCGCCTCTCTTTGACATCTCTTGGGGACTAGTTGACTCTGAAGCCCTTTATTTGACTTGCCGCTTGTGCTGAAAAAACGAAGGATCTGGAAAAGCTAAGTGTGTAGCCACCAAATACAAACCAAAGTTATTACAACATATTTTTTATATTGACTTCAATATGTCTTTAACATTATACAAATGGATGGTCAAAATGCAGAAAATGAGGATGCCCATTGTTTGTATATAATTATATTGCCTTAACAAAACCGGAAAATGGAAATGCTCTTTAATTATTGCTGTTCCTCTCACAGGACAGATCCTGATGAAACTCTTGGGACCTTCAGCAGAAGAACTCCTCACTCAAGGGCCAGAGACGGTTAAGGTAAAGGAAATTCCTCAGGGCGTCAGGGTCTCCCCTTCCACACAGCAGAACCTGCGCCCCCTGCAGAACGGCAGGGTTTGGCTGGGGCTGGCCTTTGTAGAAAACTGTGAGCAGAATCAAGTGTTACCGTATTGCTCTTTTCTTCTCCTCTCTTACCACCTCCCACTGGACTCAGTCTTAGACCCTCTGCCATCATCCCCTCCCACTGAACTGTTCCAACAGATTCTGATTCTGCCCTGGGGCTATCAGAAAGGGACTCTGGAAGATGGAACTATACGCTCTCCTGGAGAGAACCTCTGACTGATGTAACAGAATGACACTGATGTGATAGGTGTGGGGGGCAGTGTTACATTACGGACGCAAAGCCCTTCCCTGCAACATGGAAGCAATGGTCCACTCCAGGAACTCGTCTTTAAAAAAAAGAAATAATTACTAATTTCAGAGAGGAAGGGAGAGGGAGAGAGGGATAGAAACATCAGTAATGAGAGAGAATCATTGTTCAGCTGCCTCCTGCACGCCCCCTACTGGGGATTGATCTCCAACCCAGGCATGTGCCCTTGACCGAAATTGAATCCGGGACCCTTTAGTACATCTGCAGGCCAACACTCTATCCACTGAGCCAAACCGGCTAGGGCCACTCCAGGAAGGCCAGCCCTGTTTAGGACTCACAGAAATGATTTCATTTTTGTTTTGCTCAAGACAGAGTGCGAGGGTGAATGGGCTAAACGGATTTGGATGTCATTGGAAATAAACAATCCATAGGGAACAAAGTCATATTTGCCCTTGGTCGGTCCTGTTCTGTGGGAGCTCCCAGGCTTCAAGGGAAGCTCCGAGGGGCCTCACAAACTTATCAACAGTTTGCTGTTATCACAGATCACAGATTAGAGGTAGTTTAGAGAGTCTAGGGCAGAGAGGTTACTAGTGCATGTACCCAGGTTGCCTCCTGCATCATACCTTGCAACATCGTCCGACCTCCTGACCACTTGGGTCAGGCACCAGCTGGCATGCTGATCCTATTTTTCAGACTGTAATGTGTAGACTCCAAAACAAAAGTACAGAACGAAGGCAAATCTAGGACACCTCGGACCGTCCGAAGCTCAAAGGCTTATCACATGGACCCGAAGAGAAAGATTTGTGTGTCCTGGAAGCTATTTTTTATTTTTGGAAGTCATTGTCATCAAGACTGGCTGTTAAGAGCGAGATCAGAGTGTTTTCTTTTTAAGGGCAACAGACTGCGTGTGGGTTGTTTTCCTGCAGCTTCGGAAAGATCTTAAACACAAGGGCACCTGTCCAGACTCGTACTTTTTAGCTCTGCGACATTGGGTGGGTTTTTTAACCTCTTGAAACCCAAATTTCCACTTATGCACGATGAATCTATAATTCTTAAAAGTGTAACTGGAGGATTTAAAGCAAGGCGGTGTGTGCAAAGTGCTATGCACGGTGCTGAAAACGACATGATCACTCAGTAATTTATGGCTATCATTATAATCACCATTTTTATTATTACCCAAGAGAATCTAAAACGTACACGATCACCCACTCTCTTTCCCACTACCTAAAGCTAGGATTTTACTCAGCCCATCTGTAAAGTAATAACTATTGACATCTGAATAACACATTTCGCGTCCGAGAATCCTTAATTTAATGGCTCGTTACCTGGCATACACGAAGCTTCAGAAAACACATGTGTGGAGAAAACACAGTGCTTTCATCAAAGCAAGGCTGACCAGTGCTTTAAACGAAGTGGCTCACTGTCCAATCGGATTGTCCCAGTTATGTTGTACACCAGCTACTTGTGGAGAATAAATAAGTAGTGGGCTTTTTCAGAACAGGATTGGCAAACTATTATTTAGAAAGGGTCAGTGAATTTTGCCAGACAGAGGAGTGGGGCACCTGTAAATAGGATGTCAAGAGTATTTGGCCTTTCCTCAGGTACCTGGCTGGTATTTTACTTAAACATTGTTGGCAGCCTGGCAGGCGTGGCTCAGTGGTGGAGCATTGACCTATGAACCAGAGGGTCACCGTTCCATTCCTGGTCAGGGCACATGCCCGGATTGCGGGCTCTATCCCCAGTGTGGGGCATGCAGGAGGCAGCTGATCAATGATTCTCTTTCACCATTGATGTTTCTATCTCTCTCTCCCCCTCTCTGTTCCTGTCTGAAATCAATTAAAATATTTCACCACATTATTATCTGTGTCCATGGGTTAAGCATATATGCACATATGTTCTTTGGCTAATCTCTTCCTGTTCCCTCCACTCTCCTTCCCTCCCCTCTGTGATTCATCCGTCTGTTCCATGCTTCTATGTCTCTGGACCTATTTTGTTAATCAGTTTATTTTGTTCGTTAGATTCCACATATGAGTGAGGTCCTGTGGTAGTTATCTTTCCCTGACTGGCTTATTTTGCTTAGCATAGTACTCTCCAGGTCCATTCACACAGTTGCAAATGACAAGTTCCTTCCTTTTTACTGCCTTGTAGTCCATTGTCATTGTGTCTTAATGTCTCTATCAGCTGTGGGCAAGCTACGGCCTGCGGCCCGGATCCAGCCCGTTTGAAATGAATAAAACTATTGAAAAAAAAGACCGTACCCTTTTATGTAATGATGTTTACTTTGAATTTATATTAGTTCACACAAACACTACACCCATGCTTTTGTTTCGGCCCTCCGGTCCAGTTTAAGAACCCATTGTGGCCCTCGAGTCAAAAAGTTTGCCCACCCCTGCCTAGACCCATTCCAGTGATGTAGCCTCGTCTCTCTGACACATTAGGGCACCTGCACACAGATCGTCCCTTCTCTTTAAGCTTTCAGTAAAAGGATGGAGACAGCTTGTGTTAGGTGGGGGTTGTTTTATTACTCTCCAGGTCCATTCATGCTGTTGCAAATGACGAGTTCCTTCATTTTTACAGCCTTGTAGTCCATTGTCATTGCGTCTTAATGTCTCTAGACCCATTCCAGTGATGCAGCCTTGTCTCTCTGATACATTAGGGCACCTGCACACAGATTGTCCCTTCATCTTAAGCTTTCAGTAAAAGGATGGAGTCAGCTTGTGTGTTAGGTGGGGATTGCTTTAAGTAGTAGTAGTTTCCTCATCGTTTCTACCCTGCTGTCATTAGGGATACAAAGCAGTGGAAAGTCTTAGATAACTTCCTTCTGGTGGTACTTAAAAGGACATTTAAAAAAAAACTTTCCACAGATCAACTCAGTTCTCTAAGGAGTTTGTAGTATCTCATGTCCTGGAAGCCCAAATTTCAAACAGCTTTAGAGTTAAGCCAGTGATTTAAATAGGTGAAAGGCCCTGTATCTCATTACTAATCCCAGAGCCATGCAATCCCCTATCACCACAGTGATGTTAGTGAGAAAGGCAACAGGCAATGCCACAGGCTTAACTTCATCATCTAATTGTGCTGTCTGAAGGACTCAGTGCTTTCCACTACTAGTGAGTCAACACATTTTCTCCGGTGACCACTGCGATAGCAATTTGCTATGGTTGACTAGGAGTGGAGTAGAGAGAGGAGACATAAAGGAAAAAGAAAGTTTGTTTTTACTCATGAGACTAATTGTCCAAGTGAAAATACAAAACACAAATACGTGAGGAACTTGCAAAGCAAGTACACAATGATTGCAAGTCCAGATGTTGGGGGAAAAATATTATATAAAAGGAGATACACACAGATAAAGAAGGCCAGAGAGGAATTGGAGAATTTCAGCAAGGGGTTTTGTACGAAGAACATCTCAAGCCAGGTTTGAGGCAGTGAGGGCCATGGGCATGGAACAATTAAGGCTTGTAAGTGCAGAGGAGTAAGGTATGAAAGCAGAAAAGTGCAAAAAATGAAGCCAAGTGCAGAGTGGGCAATCAAATTTGTTTAGTTGGAAGAAAGACTGCATACCTAAGGAAGATAGTCAGTTCTAAGGATAAAGCAGAGCTTAGATTATGTTAGTGTTCATTCATTCATTCATTCATTCATTCATTCAATATGCATTTAGAGTCCATAAATCATGAGCTGATGCTTCTCTAGGCACTGGCGATACAGGCTAATTCTCTCGTCTTATTGGATTACATTCTAGGGGGAACAGAGAGACAATGAAAGAGTAAACAATAACAAATAAAATATCACTTGAATCTATTTGTTGACTAGAATCCCTAGGGCACATGTTAGCCTTTTGAGTAGACTGAGATATCATGGTGTGAGAAAATATGTTCAGTGGAGTGCCCGCTATCACTATTCTCTCCTTTGTTTCCAGCTGATAGTAATGCAGAACAATGAACAATAAAATCATAATGATGTGATCTACTGGTGTGCAGCCTGTGTGCGTCAGGGTCCTTGACTATCAGCATGAATAGAACTGTCTTTAATGTTTGAGCTTATCTAACCTTGAGCCATGAGATAAGGTAAACAATTTTTGTGTTTGGAAATTGCCCACAGAATAATATTTTGAGTTGTTTGGTTTTTTGTTTTGTTTTCACCTTGAAAACACACACTATAATATAAATACATTTTGTCCTGAAAAGTATCACTACTCTCAAATAATTTCATATTGATCAATCAACCTAGCTGGAGGACTATTTGGATTTCTACACTTAGCTACATTTCTAAGATAAAACAACTGACCCAATAGTAATGAGAGACACTCCCTCTTCTAATTTGATATTTGGAAGAAATAAGGCAACGATAAGTAAGCTACATTTTTATATCTTCAGAGGAGAGGGACTAGTCAAGGGCAGTGGCTTCTAATGGATAACTGTGCAGCGGGAAGGAATGTCTAGACCACAGAGGGCTGGTCTTTAGTCTGGGGATGGAGTTAAGATGACTCTTATCTCAATGCTTCACATTTCCTGAAGGCAAGACGAGGGCACTGCATTTGTGATGTTCTGTTCTCTCTACTTTAATTCAACACATATTCATTGAGAATCTTTCCTGTACCCAGCACATTCTAGAACAGTAGGGGAAGCAGAGATGAGTGAGAGAGAACCCTTCACCTCAAAAAACGTAACTGCAACTCAAGGCAGCCAACTCAAACCACTGCTGGTGTGAGCAAAGGAACTACTAGTAATCAACAAATAAGCAAGTACAGCAGACACAAAATCATGAGTAAAGAATGGGAAAGGTTCACTGTTCTCTATTCCTGCCATTATCTTACTTCTGGATTAGAGTTTTAAACTTCCAATGCGCTGTGTCTTGAGGAAACGGATAGGCCAAAATTCTTATAAGTCGGAAATGTGGGAAAAGTGAATTCTTATAAGCCCAGCTGTAGTCATTACTGAAAAGAAAGTCAAAATTAGAAAATACAGATACCCAAAAGACAGGTAATTAAAGGTTTGGCCCTGACCAGGTTGGCTCAGTGGCTAGAGCGCTGGCCTGTGGAATGAGGAGTCCCAGGTTCAATTCCGGTCAGGGGCATGTACCTGGGTTGCGGGCACATCTTCAGTAAGGGTGTGCGGGAGGCAGCTGATGGATGTTTCTCTCTCATCGATGTTTCTGACTCTCTATCCCTCTCCTTTCCTCTCTGTAAAAAATCAATAAAATACATTTTTAAAAAATAAAAAATAAAGGTTCAAAAATTAGAATGGACTTCATAACCAATATGGATTAAAATGTTAACTAATGCATTTGTATTTGTTAAATGGAGAAAGGTAAACACATTTTAGTTTTTCATTTTGCATCTTTCATGTTAACTTTATATGGTGTCCTGTGTCATTTGCTGATAATAAGAAATTGCTTTTTTCACAATTATATTTAGTCATGGATAGTAATGATGACCCCGATGAAGACAATCTTACAAGTTATGATATTCAGCTCAGTATTCAAGAATCCATTGAAGCCAGCAAGACTGAATTGTATCCTGAAAGGTAACAATCAACTTGACCGTCCTCAACAAAATTTCTTTACGACAATCATTCAGTTGTAAGATGAAATAAATGCTGTTTCCTGACTCTTCCTCCAGGAAAATGCTCAAACAGCTTTACAAGGGCCACTGTGATAGGTTCATCAGTCTGACCTTCCACAGATCCCCGCTCAGGCAGAAGATGGAAATAACCTGGAGGGGAAATTTCTAGTTGAATTCGGTTGTGCATGATTGCCTATTTTCTAAATTAATGGAATGAAAAGGACAATAAATTTAAACAAATTTGCAAGTACAGTTCATACAACTAATGTTGATAGGTATACAGAGGTCTGTTCTGTATATTCTAGAGCCCGTTCTGCTACTGACTCAGGCAACCTTTACTAATATAAGTAATGTATTCTATATTTGCATCTTTAAAATATGAAGAGTAATGCTAGCCCACCTAGCCCGTATGTTCAATGAATGGGGAAAGGGTTGAGGGCTTCTATAATATATGGAGAAGTAATATATAAACCAGAACCTATTTCATTATCTACTTTTCAAGTGACCGGAGTTAACAAATGATACACAAAATTGGTGTTTTATGTTAGCAAGGGTTATAGAGTCTAAAACTGCAAATATAGATTTCTGTCTTGAACAACACACATTATTCTTCTGACTAGTTTGCTTTTACATTCTATTATAATAATATTTTGAAACTTAGTAGTGCTTTGGGATAAATTCAGTGCTGTAAATTATTGTTTCTGAGCTTTTAAAAAATGGACATATTACATTTAAATTCCTGGCCTCTTTAATGTTTCTCTATGTCTTCAACAGGTTTTAGAACTTTAGAGTTCCCGGGAAAGCATTCCCAGCCCTAGGATGGCAGCAAATGTTTCTGCTTGATAACGTTAAATCAATTCGTTATGAAATGCTTTGTTTCCTTTGAATAAATTCACCCCAGAGAAATGCCATGAGGCTGGAAATCCTGACCTACTGGCCTGGTAACTGGGCGTTTGCTCTGTAAATGCTCAGCCTGTTTTCACTTGTGGATGAGTTAAGACTAACTCATCATGCGGGGTGGATCATAAGCCCCCAAAGGAGCCATCATTAATTAGCAATTATTATGTTTAAAGCAGCGAACATTTATTGAGCATAGAATTTTGCAAATGGGAAGAAGTCTTAGGGACCTTTCTTTTACTCCCAGCGCATTACAGATGAAGAACCACCACTCAAAAAGGCTCATTGGCCTCCCCAGAGTCACAAAACACAAAGCCCGAGCCCAGTTCTCCTGACGCTGCCTCCAGTTGTTTACTCCTTCGTTGCTTGGCACTCATTTGAGAGACGGTGTTATAATCTTACAGTTTATCATCTTCACTAATGGTCCTGCGCCTAGTGTATCATAAATATACTCTATATCTGACTCTGAGTCATTGCATTTTTAAGCGGAGGATATCAGCTGTGTGCATTTCCTTAAAATCTTGATTATTAAAATTATCTTCAGAACTCAATATAGATTGAAATGTTGGTTCCTCAGAGTATTTCACTTTTATAATTATGGCTTATGTTTCTTTCTCTGGCAGATTTGTACCACTAAGTGATCAAAACAGAAAACTTGTAGAGGCCATAAAACATGGTGAGTGCCTTGCCTACAGTGGGATGAAGTAGAGATCCCATCTTGCCTGGACAGACTTACCAGCCCATGTGTTTACCTTAGGCCACATTCTTGAGCTCCAGGAGTATGTGAAATATAAATACGCATTAGATGAAGCGGATGAAAGAGGATGGTTTCCCCTGCATGAAGCTGTTGTTCAGCCCATTCAACAAATACTCGAAATTGTCCTGGATGGTAAGAGAACATCAAGCCTCTTTGACCAAACTGAAGCAAGAATGTAGATGTTGGGAGTGTTGTCAATGAATGTAACAAGCAAAAAGAAGAAGCAGAATAAAATATTATTTGACACTGAGAAAAGGCAATACCCATGTTTTAAACGTAGGGTACAGAAATTAGCACATTTTGTGAGTCTCCGGCCTCACCTTTGCATCTTTCTAAGACTGTGACACAGGTTGGCTGGAAAATATGGTTAATCGCCTAAAAGTGATAGAAGTTTGTATATATCATGAATTAATTGATTTGAATATAAATCTTTTTTTAACCCTTGACCAAGGATAATATGTTTATTGATTTTATTATTTTATCTTTATTTTTAAAATATTTTTGTTGATTTCAGAGAGAAAGAGAAAGGGAGAGATAGAAACATCAGTGATGAGAGAGAATCATCAATCGGCTGCCTGTTGCACACCCCATATTGGGGATCAAGCATGCAACCCAGGCATATGACCTCCTGGTTCATAGGTTGATTCTCAACCACTGAGCCATACAGGCCAGACTGTTTATTGATTAGAGAGGGAGAGGAAGCATT